GGAAGCGTCTCCTGATTTCCTGGCCACCGTCTGCATCTGCAGTCATCTTTGCGCCTAGAAATACAAAGTCTGTCACGGCCTCCACGTTTTCTCCCTCTATTTCCCAGTTGTCAATCATTCTTGTTGCCATAATCTTGGTTTTTTTGATGTTTAGCTGCAACCCAGCTTTTGCGCTTTCTTCTTTCACCTTGATTAGAAGGCTCCTCGGCTCCTCCTCGCTTTCGGCCATCAGAGTGGTGTCATCTGCATATCTGAGGTTGTTAATGTTTCTTCCAGCAATTTTCACCCCAGCTTTGCATTCCTCAAGCCCCGCACATCCTCGCATGATGTGTTCTGCATACAAGTTAAAAAGGTTGGGTGAGAGGATGCAGCCTTGCCGGACGCCTTTCCCAATCCTGAACCCGTCTCCTGTTCCGTGGTCAGTTCTGACTGTTGCTACTTGGTCCTTGGACAGATTCCTCAGGAGAGAGGGAAGGGGGCTTGGGATGCCCATCCCTCCAATGTATTCATCCACATACATCCAAAGTATTACCATATCCTTTTCTCCCTCCTTGGAGAAGCACCTGTTAGGCCAGACCCTTATTTCCTGCAGCCTGCCAACGCATAGTTCCATAACTTCCATAACGCCAAAACTTCAAAACGTTGAAATGCCAAAACTACTTCCCTAAGAACAATGCCGAGGACCAGATTTTGTGACTCCCTGCACAAAATCTAAAACTCCAAAAGTGTACTTCTTCCTCTTCCCTTGAGAAAGAAGCCCCAAAGTGACCAGACTGCTTCCTTGCAGATCTGCCACTATCTGAATGCACCATCTCTCTTCTTCCCATGGAGCAGAGCATAGCGGGTGGGACAGACTCCTCGGGTCTGCCACATTTTGAGCATTATTAGACTGAGTCTTTTATAGTAATATTCTGTCGATGTAGTCCCAAAGTTGTAAATTAATGATAGACGTCTTCCATCCTGGGTCCATCTCAATTTCCTGGTCAGGTGTTGATCTTCTTGATTGGTGTTGATCTTAAGTTGACTTCCTTCTTAACATAAGGAATGTTGCAAACATTTCCTTTATCCCTGTCCCGTTCTTATCAGGGTTTCTCATTAGCAAGTCCAGCAAGCAGGTAGTTAGTCATTGCAGGCCTTAATATTATACTGGTGTTCCCAAAATTATTAACCCCAACCACACATCCTTCCACTCATTCACACACATAATTATTAAATTCACATTTATCAAATTAGCACATTGAATTTCTTATTACACTGCTGGGGCACCAAATTACTACTTTTCTATTTTAAGTCTTATGCAGAGTCTTTGCACTTTGGTGGGAACTTTTGGCGCCATGAGGGGGATGTTCATAGTGATGGTCAAAAAGAGGAAATTGGGAATATTGTGATTCTTTTACATCCCAAATGTGTAAGAAGAATCCACATCCAATCCTCATTCCTCAGATATATGGTCAGCTAGATAGGTGGGTGTATCCATATCAGAAATGCAGAGGAAAAGATGACGTATAGTTTCAAAAATTTGGAGAAATGCATATTCTTGTGCCACAAAGACGGAAAACATTTACCGTATATACTCAAGTATAAGCCGACCCTAATATAAGGCGAGGCACCTAATTTTACCACAAATTATCCTCCTTTCCCTTTTCAAAACATTCCAGCCTGGGAGGAGAAGCAGGAAAGAAAACACACTGTTTAGGGAGGGGAAGATGAGAGAGAAATAGATCATATATTATTAGCAATGGCCTCCAGGCTCCACTGCCCAGCTTGACCCCGTTATAAGCTGAGAGAGACCTTTTCAGCCCATAAAAGGTCTAAAATACTCTGCTTCTCTTAGACTCAATCTAGGTATGAAATGACTTGAATATACTCTAAGACTTAGAGTATATTCAAGTCATTTCATACCTAGATTGACACTGAACAAGGGCCAGGTAAATGACCTTGGAGGGCCGTATCTGGCCCCCGGGCTGTAGTTTGAGGACCCCTGTCTTAGAGTATATTCAAGTCATTTCATACCTAGATTGACTCTGAGCGAGGGCCAGGTAAATGACCTTGGAGGGCCGTATCCGGCCCCCGGGCTGTAGTTTGAGGACCCCTGTCTTAGAGTATATTCAAGTCATTTCATACCTAGATTGACTCTGAGCGAGGGCCAGGTAAATGACCTTGGAGGGCTGTATCCGGCCCCCGGGCCGTAGTTTGAGGACCCCTGTCTTAGAGTATATTCAAGTCATTTCATACCTAGGTTGACCCTGAGCGAGGGCCAGGTAAATGACCTTGGAGGGCCGTATCCGGCCCCCGGGCCGTAGTTTGAGGACCCCTGTCTTAGAGTATATTCAAGTCATTTCATACCTAGATTGACTCTGAGCGAGGGCCAGGTAAATGACCTTGGAGGGCCGTATCCGGCCCCCGGGCCGTAGTTTGAGGACCCCTGTCTTAGAGTATATTGAAGTCATTTCATACCTAGATTGACCCTGAGCGAGGGCCAGGTAAATGACCTTGGAGGGCCATATCCGGCCCCCGGGCCGTAGTTTGAGGACCCCTGTCTTAGAGTATATTCAAGTCATTTCATACCTAGATTGACTCTGAGCGAGGGCCAGGTAAATGACCTTGGAGGGCCGTATCCGGCCCCCGGGCTGTAGTTTGAGGACCCCTGTCTTAGAGTATATTCAAGTCATTTCATACCTAGATTGACTCTGAGCGAGGGCCAGGTAAATGACCTTGGAGGGCCGTATCCGGCCCCCGGACCGTAGTTTGAGGACCCCTGTCTTAGAGTATATTCAAGTCATTTCATACCTAGATTGACTCTGAACAAGGGCCAGGTAAATGACCTTGGAGGGCCGTATCCGGCCCCCGGACCGTAGTTTGAGGACCCCTGTCTTAGAGTATATTCAAGTCATTTCATACCTAGATTGACTCTGAGCGAGGGCCAGGTAAATGACCTTGGAGGGCCGTATCCGGCCCCCGGGCCGTAGTTTGAGGACCCCTGTCTTAGAGTATATTCAAGTCATTTCATACCTAGATTGACTCTGAGCGAGGGCCAGGTAAATGACCTTGGAGGGCCGTATCCGGCCCCCGGGCCGTAGTTTGAGGACCCCTGTCTTAGAGTATATTCAAGTCATTTCATACCTAGATTGACTCTGAGCGAGGGCCAGGTAAATGACCTTGGAGGGCCGTATCCGGCCCCCGGCTGTAGTTTGAGGACCCCTGTCTTAGAGTATATTCAAGTCATTTCATACCTAGATTGACTCTGAACAAGGGCCAGGTAAATGACCTTGGAGGGCCGTATCCGGCCCCCGGGCCGTAGTTTGAGGACCCCTGTCTTAGAGTATATTCAAGTCATTTCATACCTAGATTGACTCTGAACAAGGGCCAGGTAAATGACCTTGGAGGGCCGTATCTGGCCCCCGGGCCGTAGTTTGAGGACCCCTGTCTTAGAGTATATACGATATATGTCTGTCATTAAGAGAGCCTCAAGTTTTGCAAAGGTTTTGCAAAGGTCCAACATTTTCAACCGTGGCTTGTTCCCCTAGATCACTTCCCATGAATACCTGGATCACGGGATTGTTTTCCTGTGCACACAAGGCATTTTATAAAGCTTCCTGGCCACTAGAAATGTGGCCAACAGCCTTGTCACTTCTATTGCCAGGAGGGAACAGCTTCTGTGTTGTGCCGTCGCGCTTGGGGGCTATTATTCTTAATGAAGGAGGGATGGACGTGGCATCTTTCCTCCAAGGGATTGCTTCTTGCCCTCCTATAGGAAACTGGAACTCTCAAAAACCCAAAACGCTGTAAATAACTCAAAATAAGTTTTATTGATTACAAAGAGTTATTTCTTCAAAGCAATGAGCTGGAAACTTCAGAGGGGTGAAGGAAAATATATGTTACAGTCTCAATTAGTCCTGGGTCCAAGGTGTTTGAAGCTGAGAAGCCTCACCAAGTTTCCTGTTTCCTCAATGGCTGTGAATGCCGGAGCAAACCACAACCCCAGTTCAGATGTTTGAAGACTCAGGATCTTCCTTTGGTGCCAAAAGAACCAGTTTGAAGGCACTTGAGACTTCCAACGTTGTTCAGGTTGGTCTGAACATGAAGCACAAGTCTCAAGGGTAAAAAAAACCCCCCAGAACTGGTGCTAAGAGGTCATTTAAATCAGGGTCTTTTATTTATTTATTTATTTACTTTGCTTGTTTCTCAGCCCGTAGGCGACTCAACGTGGTTCACAACAAGAGCAAAAAGACAATCATAGCAATATACAATTTAAAACCATTAAGAGCATAATATACAAAGCAAAGACGCATCAATAACAACACAATAACGTCTCGTGACTAGAATCGTGATCCAAATTCGTCGTCTATGATTCCGTTCCTATTTTCACCATATTCATTGCACTGTTTATCCGAATGCCTGTTCAAACAGCCAGGTTTTTAGTTTTCTTCGAAACACCATTAGCGTAGGAGCTGATCTAATGTCCATGGGAAGGGCGTTCCACAGCCGAGGGGCCACCACAGAGAAGGCCCTGTCCCTCGTCCCCAAATCCGTCAAATCTCTTACTCACGTCCATATGGTAGGAACTCTGATGGCAGAATGAAAAGAAAGGAAGCACTCCCCTCCTGCAGGAAGAGGTGGAGCCAAACAGTACTGATTGACAGCTACAAGAAACCAATCCATACAACTATACATAAGCAGGGTAAAAGGAGCAGGATTAAGCATGATACAACAGTTCTACACATAGGTGGTGCCACTCGCGCCGTCACATGTGTTTTGCTCTCCAGGGTCAATAAAAAAAACACTACAAATAGACATTCAATTTGCTCATTCCACCACTTATTCCACACAACAATTCAATAGGGACAATCAAAACTAGAGTTCTTTCTTGGAAACCCTTTTGCGATGGAGAAAACAGGGTTGTGGCTAGAAGCGGGTTGGGGAGGGGGCAAGAAGGGATTGATCTGCTACAAGGTTATGTTCTAATTCTTTCCCCTGCCCTCTTTCACCTTCACTTCTAGGTCTAAAGAAGATCCTTCTACCGAGCCTTGGTGACTGGCATCTGTATTTTATTTCATTTTTCTTCCAAATTTCTCAGCTAATGGGATGTTTACAGAGAACACTGAATGAACTCCTGGAGCAGTCCTGATGTAACTTTTTATTCTGATAGTATTATAAAAAGACTCCTTTTTTTTTAAAGGAAAAAATATTTAATATTTATTCTTGCTGCTATTATATATATATTTAATTTTATTGTTGTTTTGGAAAGAAGACCAATAGACTGATTCAACGATTTGACGAACGGAGCCTGCCAATGGAATGGAAAGTCAGAACTGGGTTTGGAGAGCCACCTTTAAGCTTTCTCTTGGATAAAAGGCTAGTTTGCGGTTTGGGATCAGGAAAGGCCCCAGTACTGGAATTGTCTGGCCTCTAGAAAAGGCAGGTCCTTTTCCTACAGAAGTGCCAGGGCTGAACTCGTTTTTTAAACATGTCTTTTTTTTTTTAACTTGATGTTTCTACAATTTTTAAGCTCCTCTCAATTGACTGTATTTCCTCCTTCACGGTTCGAAGGAAAGATAACACTGTCTTTTTGTTCAGTCACTGGAAAGGTGTAACAACAATATGAACCTTCACAACAGGAAGTTAACATTTCTTGGATTTTATTTCTCTCCTGACTTCTGAATCCCGGAAAGACCTGCAAAGCAGCTTGTAGTTTCAAAAAGTTATAAAGAAACAGCCGAGAGAAGAAACGTTACGGATCATAGGATGCGCTTTCTAAGTAAAGGATAGGGAACCTCTTTTTTGTTAAAGGAGATCCTATTGCTTCAGGAATTGGTGTTTTTTTCGTGTCAGGAGCAACTTGAGAAACTGCAAGTCACTTCTGGTGTGAGATAGTTGGCCGTCTACAAGGACGTTGCCCAGGAGACGCCCGATGTTTTACCATCCTATGAGAGGCTTCTCTCATGTCCCCGCATGGAAAGGTGGAGCTGACAGCTCACTACGCTTCCCGAATTCAAACCGCTGACCTTTCTGTCAGCAGTCCTGCCAGCACAAACATTTAACCCACTGCGCCCCTCAGGAATGGGTGCTGGGACAAGCCAAATATCTTGCCAATTGAGAAATGTATATGAAAGGGAAAATGTATATGATCGTACTTTGCAAGGACTGCTCACCATAAAGATAATGATGTTGATTTCGGTAAAGGTAAAGCTTTCCCCTTGACGTTAAGTCTGGTCTGGCCAACTTTGGAGGGTGGTGCTCATCTCCATTTCTAAGCGGAAGAGCCGGCTTTGTACGTGACATTTGCATGCTTTCGAACTGCTAGGTTGGCAGAAGCTGGGGCTAACCCGGATTCGAACCACTGACCTTTTGGTCAGCAAGTTCAGCAGGTCGGTGGTTTAACCTGCTGTGCCACCTCCTAGCTCATGTGGCCAGCATAACTGCATGGAGCACTGTTACCTTCCTGCTGAAGCAGTACCTATTGACCTACTCACATTTGCATGCTTTCGAACTGCTAGGTTGGCAAAAGCTGGGGCTAACCCGGATTCGAACCACCGACCTTTTGGTTGGCAAGTTCAGCAGGTCGGTGGTTTAACCTGCTGTGCCACCTCCTAGCTCATGTGGCCAGCATAACTGCATGGAGTGCTGTTACCTTCCCGCTGAAGCAGTACCTATTGACCTACTCACATTTGCATGCTTTCGAACTGCTAGGTTGGCAGAAGCTGAGGCTAACCCGGATTCGAACCACCGACCTTTTGGTTGGCAAGTTCAGCAGGTCGGTGGTTTAACCTGCTGTGCCACCTCCTAGCTCATGTGGCCAGCATAACTGCATGGAGTGCTGTTACCTTCCCGCTGAAGCAGTACCTATTGACCTACTCACATTTGCATGCTTTCGAACTGCTAGGTTGGCAGAAGCTGGGGCTAACCCGGATTCGAACCACCGACCTTTTGGTTGGCAAGTTCAGCAGGTCGGTGGTTTAACCTGCTGTGCCACCTCCTAGCTCATGTGGCCAGCATAACTGCATGGAGTGCTGTTACCTTCCCGCTGAAGCAGTACCTATTGACCTACTCACATTTGCATGCTTTCGAACTGCTAGGTTGGCAGAAGCTGAGGCTAACCCGGATTCGAACCACCGACCTTTTGGTTGGCAAGTTCAGCAGGTCGGTGGTTTAACCTGCTGTGCCACCTCCTAGCTCATGTGGCCAGCATAACTGCATGGAGTGCTGTTACCTTCCCGCTGAAGCAGTACCTATTGACCTACTCACATTTGCATGCTTTCGAACTGCTAGGTTGGCAGAAGCTGGGGCTAACCCGGATTCGAACCACCGACCTTTTGGTCGGCAAGTTCAGCAGGTCGGTGGTTTAACCTGCTGTGCTACTGGGACTGGAGATGGCATTTATATGAAACTTATTTGCCTAAGAAAATCAGTTGAAGTTCATGGCATCGCTATAAGTTGACAAACTATTTGATGGCAGATACACCAACATATTTGGGTTCGTCAGTTAAAATCTAGCTTTAAAAATAATGGTGATTATGTTGATGCCAGGAAGGAAGGAAGGAAGGAAGGAAGGAAGGAAGGAAGGAAGGAAGGAAGGAAGGAAGGAAGGAAGGAAGGAAGGAAGGAAGGAAGGAAGGAAAAAAGGAAGGAAGGAAGGAAGGAAGGAAGGAAGGAAGGAAGGAAGGAAGGAAGGAAGGAAGGAAGGAAGGAAAAAGGAAAAAGGAAGGAAGGAAGGAAGGAAGGAAGGAAGGAAGGAAGGAAGGAAGGAAGGAAAAAAGGGAGGAAGGAAGGAAGGACTATCATAGTCTGAAACGAGATCATTTCCTATTTCCAGTAACAGCAGCCCTTTCTGTTTAATTGTGGCTTGAAAAGAAATAAGATATACGTGTTACATCCCAGATCCTAACTCTAATTATGAGGTGGGCAACAGTTCCTGTTACTTTGAAATTGTTTCCATACAAAGACTCGATTTTTCTTTAAATTTAAAACAAACACATGCTGTAGTGTATCCTCAAAAGAAGCCCTGCTGGAGATAACTTTATAGACGTATTTAAGCTGTATATACTGTATATTTATAAGTACTGTGTTTAACTTCTACCACCACCCTCTGTATCTTTTCTTTTTTCTCCCCCAATGTATTCGTCCTTTGTCTTTTTTTTAAAAAAAAGTATATAAAATATCTATTTTGCTCATGAAAACCACTCTGATGTTTTTTCTTGTACTGTTTGGCTCATTCTGCAACACTAGAAATCACATTCATTCTAATATTTATTCATATTATGTGAGTCCAGATGTATTTTCTTTAGATAGATAGATACGTTTTATTGATTGGCCTATTGGCCGTATCAAAACATTTAACACATAACACATTTAACACATAGTCATACATACAACATACAACCCTCGGTATGAGAGAGGTTAAAATAAACAAACTGTTAGCAGATCCCGTTCAGCACATTTAACACATAGTCATACATACAACATACAACCCTCGGTATGAGAGAGGTTAAAATAAAAGAGGTTAAAATAAACAAACTGTTAGCAGATCCCGTTCAGGTCAAATATCTGTGTCACCTCCACAATTTACCCCAATTGATTCTAAATGTGCAATTCTCAGCTGTGTTGCTTTGAATAGAAAAAGGGCTGTTTTGTGTGTTATTTTAGGATTCTGGCCAGCCAACAAAAATGAAGTTTTAATATGTGGATCCCAGTGTGTTTTGTGAATAATGTATGGTCCAAGGCAATGGTCTCTCTCTTTCTTATACAGCTCACAGTTGAACAATACATGTGTGATATCCTCCACCTCTGATGCTCCGCAAATACAAAATCGTTCGTTGTATGGGACTTGATTAAACCTTCCGTGCTTGACCATTGAATCCAGATGCTCAAAACGAGCTCTGGTAAATACCCTCCTGAGGTGTTTTGGCATTTCTGTTTTTAGATATCGAGCTGTTTGGAAAGTGTGTTTAAAGCGGCTTAACCATTTCAATGAGCCAGCTTTACTGAGGGTAGCAATGTCTTTTTGGCCTTCTATATCCAATACTCGTTGAGCAACTATTTTTGGGTCTAGCTCTTCTAAGAGATTCGGATACCGAGTCGGGTGTCCACAGCTCCTAATATATTTTGTCAGGAGAACTAGCCAAGAGGACTGACATTGATTTTCTATCTGCTCCAACAGGCACAGTTTTGGAAGTCTATCATTTGCCATGGCAATCAGTTTTGCCCAGTAGTTGTAGGCCCTAATTTTGGATAAGCCATCCACTGTGTGTACTCCCAGTTCCGCTCTTACTGCGGCAGCTGGGGTCGTCCTGTCCACTCCTAGAAAACTTCGCAGGTGCTGTGATTGTGCTCGCTCTAATAATGGTACCTGGTTTAGACCCCAAACTTCAGCTCCGTATAAGAGCATGGGAGTTACCTTTGCTTTGTATACTTTAAGAAGTGGGTCTAAGGATCCTGGATGGTTGTGATTTATCAATTTAAGTAGTTGATTTGCACGTACTCTTGCCCTGACTGAGCTATTTTCTTTAGAGCATTTAAACCCCATGCTTCAGCTAAAAAAAGGTTTCCTAGAGTGTGCTGTCACGCTTGGGGGCTATAACTCTTAGTGAAAGAGGCATGGACATGACATCTTTCCCCAGGGGATTGCTTCTTGCCCACCTTTAGAGAAACTGGAACTCCCAAGGACCAAAACACTGTAGATAACTCAAAATAGGTTTAATTGTTCACAAAGAGTTATCCCTTTAAGACAATAAGCTGGAAGTTTCAAAGGGGTAAATTTATTTATTTGGTTCACTTTTACCCCGCCCTTCTCACCCCGAAGGGGACTCAGGGCGGCTTACACATCCAAGGCACTATTCAATGCCCTTAACATACAACAATGATAAAAACACAATAGCGCAAAATAGCAAACAATAACAAACAACAATAGTACATCATATCTATACCCAATAAAACCAATAAAACCCATAAAAATTTCATATAAACCGATACAAACCAATTACTCCTTATTGCCGGTCGATATTCGCTATCTCATAGTTCAGAGTTCATTCCACAGTCATCAGTCCTGCCGATCCTATTTGTCTGGTTGTCCTTACTTAGTTGGCAGATTGCCTGAAGGCCTGGTCCCACAACCATGTCTTTATCTTCCTCCTGAAGGACAGGAGTGATGTCGATGTCCTGATATCCGCCGGGAGTGAGTTCCACAGGTGAGGGGCCACCACTGAGAAGGCCCTGCGCCTCGTCCCCACCAGCCTCACTTGGGAAAGCAGTGGGGTCGAGAGCAGGGCCCCCTCGGATGATCTTAAATTCCGTGGTGGGACATAGAAGGAGATACGTTCGGACAGATACACTGGACCGGAACCGTACAGGGTTTTGTAGGTCAAAACCAGCACCTTGAATTTTGCTCGGAACTGAATCGGCAGCCAGTGGAGCTGACAGCAGAGGGGTGGTATGCTCTCTGTATGTCGCTCCAGTGAGCAGCCTGGCTGCCGCTCGCTGG